TCTCCTTCTGGTCACCAGTCGAAGAGATTATCCCATGTGCGATAAGGATCTAGACCGGTGACGCAGGCGTGAAAAGGTGGGCACATACGGGTGTGTCCATCCACAGAGTTTGCTAGCCGCGATCTTCACGAAGTCGCATATGGCATTTTTTTTTGGCGCCTCTTTCTTCGGCTGGAGATGTGTCGCGTGCGGGAATGCGAATAGCCGGCTTCCCGCAAGCGCCCCGGTCGGTATACGGGGCGGATTAAAGACCTGCCTCGCTGACAGGATGGTGTAAAGATAAAAGAAAATCAATGATTGGTCGCGTGGGCTTCCCTTTGAGTGGATTATAACCAGCCTAATTTCGACCACCCCCTCAATTTTCTTTGATTGATAATAGTTTAGACAATACACGATTCATTTCCATAATTGACCTGTCATGGCCTTGGAATAAGCTGGACCTCCAAAGGCAAAGTAAAGGGATATATACAACATGAACATATTTTTTTGAAAACCGTCAAACATGAATAACAATAGTTTCAAAAAGGGAATTGACTATTGATCTTTTACTCTTAAAAAAAAAGGCTCTTAAAGTTATCTTTTTGTAATTTTCATATTACAGAGCTTGGTTATAAATCACTATGTCATTTTGACTAGCTATTATGTCTGTGTTTGAATTGATAATGGAAATGAACGAAAAATTCAAATTAGTTTTGTCAAATGTTCTCCAAACAAATTTCTTAATAATCCGCTGTTAAACAAAGTAAAACAAAGAGAATATTACTACCAGTTAATTGTTTTATTTATTAATCTTACAATTAGTTACATGTAAGATAGGGAAAATCTAATTAAAAAGTGAGGTACTCGTGCATGCAGTCAGCCAAAAATAAATAAATTTCTTGTTACAGTAAATAATATGCATTAAATGTAAAGTGCTCCAAAAATTATGATACTTAGCTAAACAGCAACCGTTTTAATCACTCATTCCTGTAAATAAAACATTAAGTTCATCCAACTTTATGAAAACAAAAAATATATTCTTTTACTATTAGTGTACATAATACACATTCCTCATTTATTCCTCATATCCAATCTCAATCCTATATTATTATCATTGTATTGCTACATCTTACACCTCTTTGTGCTTAAACTAAACGCAACAACTTTTTTTTAATAATAAAGTATGACTATACCCCGTAAAGCCAGGGACATCACATACATAACGCTAATTTATCTTTAGCTGGGGCGTTTTCTTGTTGTAGAAAAACAGATAAATCCCATTAGACATAGCAACGCCCAATCGAGTTATTCACTTCCCAAAAGAAAGGGGGGAAAGGAACGCAGTTGTAGGCTAACTTCTAATTTAACTCTCTCGTTTAGGGATTACTCGTCAACTGATTAAGTTTTCGTCCAATCTACGATGAGGCTATTCCGACACAATACTTGTTAACATGTCTCATGTGGGTTTAGCTTCCTCTATGTTTCTCCTCCGTTTTCCCAATGCCAAGGAGTCGTTTTCTTGGAAGTAAACCACCAAAAGAATTAAAAAAGCTGCCATCTTAGAAGTGATGTTAATATAGATGATAGGGAATGTTTGGTATTTGATGTAAATTAAGGTAAAGTTCCCTCATCTTCTTCGCCTAGCTTCCTGCTGGGGGAGGCTTGGTTTTCAACAGGAGAAGAAAAAAAAAGCGGAGGAAAACTTGATTTAATCAGGGATAAAGTCTTCTCCACACCTCCGGGACAATCTTATCGAAGGGATGGCTTCTTAGATACTCAGGCTTGACATATGACTTTTCCCTTTTGGATATGAAGAAGGAAAGACATGAGGAATGGAAAGAAAGAAGAAGACAAACAGGAGGAAATGCACTCGGTGGAGGAGAGGAGGGCTGGATTGATTGGATACGTGTTTCTTTGCGGGAATTCGAGTCGCGAAAGCCCGCGGATTTAGCTTAGTACAGCCGTCTGCGCACGGGCACACACTATCCCTTTACATTAATTAATCAGTATTCATTTTTGAAAAAGCACACATGCACACGTGGAAGAAGACGGTCAAGAAATACGTATCGCTAAAGGGGGCTTGCTACCTTCGAAACTTTTAGAGCTGGCACTCATGAAATGAGAAGATGACAAGATGAGAAGAAGACTTCAACACCCAAGATTCTTCATTTGATCAAGTTTAAACGCTGGTAACCCTCACTAAATCCGTGCTCTCGTTTTTTATTGTAGAGCAAATTACACATGAAATGCGCGCCGAAATTCGAATCGGGATGTCTTTGAGTCATTTGTTTGAAGAGTGGCTTGATTTGGCAGTCAAATAGCGTTTAATTCGTTTTGCATTCTCGGCAATTATTTGAGCAAACTAGAAGTAGGGACTGATCGGCGTACTCCGCTCACACGCTCAGATAATATGATAGGAATAGACTGCGAAAGTCAAAACACTGAGGAAAAAGAAAAACATGTACGAGAAAAAGATTGAGATTAAAGGAAATGAATGAAATAACATAGAAAATGGAAAATGGTAAAGGATAATGGTAAAAAGAAAAACAATTGAAGACAAAATTAATTGATTGTGTCTTAATTTAAAAGAGAAATCACTTTAAAAGAGAGAATTCTCTTTGGCAGGTGGCGTTCAATTTTCGTATTTTATTTTGTATTTTGAATTTCTTTTACTCTTTTATTAAAACCTAGAATGTTCCATAAGATAAGGGATAGCACATCATTAATAAATGTTTGAAACAATCACATCTAAAACAAAGTTCTACTTGGTTTAACATTAAAAATATGTCAAGATTAGCGTCTGGTATCCTCACTGAGTCTCGTGCTGCATGGTGAATGTAAAACGCCATTGTAAAGTCATTTATATAAAACAAAATGTAAAAGGAGTCTAGGGAGAAACGGAAATACATAGTTAAGTTTGCCTGAGTGGGCTTTTAAAGTATTCAACCATCTTAATGTTATTACCGAAGAGCTAAACGTAGCTCAAATTGAGATTTATTTGATAACTGTTACACCTCCCTTTTCATGACTCGGTGATTCGGTAGAGCCAAATTCACTTTAGTCCTCTTCATATGCGTAAACAATGCTGTAATACAATTTGTCTGAATAACCAATTCGCTAATTTAATGTTCTCCGCCTTGACAAAACTCTTGCTTGCGTGTGAGTCTTTCTTCGGCAAGAAAAAAAAAAAGGTTGTTCTCCGTATTTATTGAGAGATAAAAGGGGGTGTTTGGGAGGGGAAAGAATGGATGAAACGTGCTCATTTAGATTTGTGAGAAGTTAAGCTAATCAATTACGAATGCAAATTCTCTTGTTGAGAAGGCTACGTCTCAATTTTACAGTTGTAGGTACGCGATTTGACGAGACCTGTCAATTATAATTACATACAATTATTTCTAAAAATCATCGAAGTTCTAATAAATGCTTTGGTGATTAAAACGTTTTCTGCTGTTTTAAATGTAGTATTCTGTTCTTAAACTGCCGGTATTTAAGCCTTTCTTGTTATTTTTGCTTTGTTTTATTTTCTTAATAACACTTATAGAACTTAAGACAAGTATCTACCACATTCGGAATGCATATTATGATAATCTTGCACGTTCACTTTCGTATATAATTTACTGATCATGAAATGCTTTCTTATCTACACTGGACGGATTGAATTCCACATGTCTACTTGCTGGACACTTCGTCGATTGCCCGGCACAACGTATTTTGTTCATTATCTCTAGAAATTCTTGACTATTACATCAAATATACTTTTACACTTTTCTTATCGTCACGATAATGAAATAAAATTCTAAGAAAAATTGTTTTACAAAACTTTTAAACGTATGCTTCCGTCAAAATAATGGAAGTTAAAAGTATGAGATTCGAAATATTTGGCCATATTTTAACAGAATAACATCTCGTATTAGGGATTGTTCTGTTAATCTCACTGAATAATCTCTGATTATTAATAACAAAGTTAGTATATCTTCACTTGAAAATTTGAAAGAATTAGGAGACCAAGCAAACAAATATTTCTACCCTTCAAGATTCATTTATATTTAAATTAAGATATCTAAATATCAGTATTAACACATACAGTGATTTTCCTTTCAATGTATGGTTTATTAATGTACCTATTAATAAGACAAATAGGAACCTTATGAATTATTCGTATGTATTTTTTCTTCAAATCAAGAACCATTTTAATGCAGACGACATCCCTTTGGTTTTATTGTAATGCTTCAAGTAATAAAAGTAGAATATATTTTATATAAAGCTGAACATGCTAAAATACACTATTAACGGCCATAAAATCCATCCCATGCTTTAGCAAAAAATAAAAGTAAAACTTGCTTGACAAAATCAATGTGGTGATGAATGAGAAGCTTGCACACCGCACATACTTTAAACATCAAAATTTCATTTATTAGAAGAGACGTGTGTGTGTTGAGCATACTTCGAAGGTAAGATGAGCGAAAATAAACAAATAAAGATCGGAAAAGTGGTTTAGTCGATGTTGAGGTAGAAATTGTTCGAATTAGTGGGGAGTCCGAATTGATAAACGGACCTAATGTCATTGTTGGTCGCGCGCGCGGCTGGTTAACGAAATTACCAAATAATTTACCAACAAATCAAATCAGAACAGGATAAATCACATAATCAACCATCATCAACGACACTAAAGCGCTCAAAAAACAAACCTAGGCAAAATTGATCGAATTATCTTTGGTGTAAATGTCGTTATGTAATTTAGCGAACTGCAAACTGTATTTGGGTTTGATCAACTTAGTTATAGGTTGGTAGGGACCGGGGAAAGAGGGAGTGCTAGCTAGACGAGCGTCGATCGCTCCGCGCCTAATTCTATCATTGAAGAGGGAATTTAGAGATATACAATTGACTTGGAACGATTTGATCAGCAATTGGGAACGGGAAGAGGGGAAAGCAAGAGTGACATTAGTTCTGTCTGACACTTCCATCTAGTCTTAGCCAATAATCGTTATCATCAAACAGAGAAATTATTTTGGATTACTTACCACTGGAATACGGCGAGCATTGTGACATTTGCTGGTGCTCCATCATCGATGCTAGGTTGCATGTACCGGCCATGCTGCCTGCTCCTGTTCCGTAGCCAACCGATGGTCTCAGGCTGCTGTAGGGGTAGGCTTGGGCTGGTTGAGAACTCACAGAACCAGGGAACTCTCCATAAGAAGTCGGGATACCCAACCCGGCACCCTCCACCCCGCCTAGACACGAATCATAGGCATTTTGACCCAGGTATGACGAGTAATCCATCATGCTACCAGAGCGACTAAACACCACTTGACGATCAATTTTGCCGAAATTTCTTCACAAAGGTGGAACCCCAAATTGTGTTAAAACAAGGAAAAATTAGGAGAGATTGGGATAGTTTTATTTGAATCGGTAAGTTTTTGTTCTAGAGGATGTTGATGATGATGATGAAGAGAGAGAGAGATGAAGATGAGAGACGAGCGATGTGATGTGATAAGATGAGATAAGACGAGTCGATCTAATTGAGAGATGAAGATGGTGTTTAACTCAGCTTGTCTGTGACGTAGTCAACGAGACGTCTCTTGATTGGCCAGTTAATGCTGTTCGTATTTGTACAGATAAGGAGCCTTTCGTGCTGGTTTCAAGACTTTTCAAAGAGAGATAAGAATCGGTCTCTATGATCATGTCATACGGGTAGTTTTTTTGTATAAACTGTAAGTACTTCAAATTATTTACACAATCTGCAAACAGCAAAAGGGTATTACGATAAAGCTATGTCATCGGTAAAACTCGTATTAGAGACGAAGTCACTGATGCCTTGAAGACACGCTAAATTCAACTGTCAGATGAGCGAAATGGTTAGACTGAAGACGAGACTAGCTTGCAATCCATGGACCAGGCGAAGCCAAGTAATCACAATTTAATGCACTTAGGGAAAATATCGAGAGATGGCTTGTAATACCCAGTGCATTTAGATGCTCTGAGATGAAGTTTCCGCGCGCGATGTCGGAGGTTGCAAACAGTGAAGTGAGACATGTTTTGCAAGGAAACGAGGAGAGAGAGAGCGCGCTTGGAGTAGCACCGTGTAAAGTGTGTGTGTGTGCTCGGTTGTGTGTGTATACGCGCTGTACATGCAAAGATCCGTGGCGTCACGAATACCAGCACCGCTACCACCGCCACCAACATCGGTACGGTCACGTGATAGAATCACTGGGCGTATCTCATCTTTGCACCGCTGATTTGTGTGTATGCATGCCCCGTGGCGCCCAGCAAGCCCTTCTTATTTGGTGCATCCTAGAAATGTACTCTCCCTTTCATCCCTTTCGCGCGACATGTGTAAACTGCTAGCTGACAGGAATCCCCCAGGCGCCAAGCTCCGCTACCCCTACCCCTGCTAGAGCATTGCCTACCACCCGGTAGCTACCCCATACCTGCTTGTATTGCTCATTCCTTCATATTCTTTAAGCACATGACTGTCGAACGGCACTTAATGTCGAGGTTTTTTCCTCAACTTATGCTAGGTGATCGCTAAACAATACTCCGCCTGTCAACTCACTCTTTCTCTATCCCCCCTTTTCTTTCGTACACTTCCCGCCAAGTTTTCTAATCGTAATTAGTAGATGGTCCTAGCGGGATTTTACCTTTCTCGCCTTGTTAGAAGGGCTGGGAACATATAAAAGCACCGAGGTTTGACTTAGAGCCCGGAGATGTTAACAAGGGTATCGGGGGGGGGGGGGGAGCGGAGGAAGTTTTATAACGCTTCTCTTGCTTGCTCGAGAGGGCGTGGCTTTCCCCATGTTACCGTCATAGTTCATTCGGTGAAGAAAAATACATTTATATGAGTTATAGTAGGCATATGGGGTTGTCATATTAGTAACAAGTATACATTTACAGAAATACACTTCACCCAACGTCTGTGTAACTCATTAGGATAATTTTATAATTCCGACATGGGCTTGGAAATAATACTATTGTTATGATCACTGTTTTTTGTCGGTAGAATGCTTTAGAATGATCTCTGTCCCTCTCTCAAATTCTTCTCTTTGACTATGTCCCTTGTCTGTAATCTTTATTTACAACCCTTTCAGCTTTTTTACTCTCTTTTCTCTCTTTCTTTTTCTCCTGCCCCTGTATCATAATATTCAATTTCATTTTCTCTCTTTTTGAAAAAATATTCTACTTATTCTGTAACTGCTCGGAGTCTTTTGTTAAACATAAAGCACGTAGTTTCACCTAAAGTACCCAAGGACCTTTTTATTTTCCTGCGCTCATGTACTCCAAAAATTGAAGAAAACCACTGAAGTGGAAGTTAGTGATGGAAAAGTAGCGCTCTTTCCAAACTTTTTTCTATCTTCTAACGATTTTCATATTCCCCCTACGTCTAATACAATAAGTTCAAACAGATAGAAGCAATTTCCGCCGCAGGTAGGGAGTTAATCAAAATTTCTACTAGACCATTCTAGCCCTTGTCATTGTGACTCTATACGCATGAATGCATTCTATACATCAGCAAAACCTTCTATCGACCTTTTTATTTTTTACTCATACTTTGGGGAAAGAAGAGAAAATATATTTCAAACTGAAAATGGCAGTTGTGGAAAGCTTTACAAAAGAGCGCGAGGGACTGAGTGAAATGACGACGGAGTTTTGTAGGTCTCCCTGCTGAATACTGCATTATGAAGGTTGAAAAAAGACACACCTCTTATTAGATTGCCAGTCCAAGGTCGGTCTCACTCAACTTTCTTTTGCCTCAGTATCATTCTCGCAAATGACTTATTTTTTACCTCTTGTCATAATTACATTTGATTCGAAGTACACTTCTTTAACCGTGTGGTCATAAATTGGCATAAAGGAAAGTACAAATCAACCATTTTGCTTGTATTTGCAAGGAAGCAAATATATACTCTTAATTAGTACTACTTTGTGGGAATGAGGGCATGCGGTACAAGGAACAATATTTCCGGGGGGAAATAACCAAGTCGTTTTGTTAAGTTTGTCGCTCAACCAGAGCGCGAACTTTATATTAGAGAACATTTATGATACCAATCAAAACGAAGAATAGCGTGGTGATATACAGATCAACAACTACCACCAAATCTTTGGTAAAGCATATTTCATTTTTTAAATCGAAAAATTACAAACATATATAGCCTATCCATATATATATTTTCAAATTCTTAGTTCAGTTTATATTCAGTGTTAATTTAATTTTTCATCAGGTAAATAAGCTCTTGAACTTAATCAAAATGTTTGATTAAAATTAGAGCAAAAACGTTTTGTATTTATTAAAATCAAAGCCATCTTATACCTTGTATGTTATCTCTATTTTTCCCCTAAAACTTAAAAAAAAAATCACTCATCTAAGTGTTTAAACTATATTCATTATATTATGGATTCTTTTGTTTTTTCTTTCGTTTTGGTGCAAAAGTGATGGAAAAGAGATGGATTTTGTGTTCATTTACAAAAAGCAAATGTACTAATATATTTGAGTATTAAGATACTATGCATATCACACACGCACATTTTGTGAGTGTGTGAATTACATTGAGCTATACAAGATTGGTCATCTTGGTAATCTGAATTACATGGAGATGCAATATATATATATATTAATTTAAGATGATTGATTTCAGATAACTGCCAGAAGAGTAGAAAAGAATAAATCACTGAAAATAAATAAGAAGGTTAGATGGAGAGCAGAAGAGAGGAAGAGAGAAGAAAAAAAGGGGGAATGTGGAAAAATGGAGGGAGGGAGGGAGAGGCTGGGGGAAAGGATGAGAAGGGGGGGGGGGGGTAAACAGAGTCAAACAAGAAAAACGCGCGCCCAAAACCCATATTATTCAGAGACCAAGAGTTTTGTAAGAGGGAAACAATCCGTTTGGACGTGGTAGCACTATCTGCTAATGACATCGAGTAATTTACTAAATTGATTTTTATTTCTCATGTAAATAACGTCTCTATTTTGGGGCAAATAAAGTGTACCTTGGAGAATTACAACAGAGAGGGGGGAGAAAGAAAGAGAGAGAGAGAGTTGTTCTTGGACGTCCGCATGAATGGGTGCCCCACATGACGTTAGAAAGCTAAGCGAGCTAGCTAGGGTAGGCCACTGACTCACTAAACTAACATAACGTTGGAATAATTGGACTATGGTTGCTGATCACGAAATTGCTTCATCTAATAAACTTTACTAAAATTACATTTTTTTGTGTGTGTTGATTGATAATTCTAAGTATACCTTGTAGATAACCTGGCTAAAAGTGTAGTGAGTGCCATTGTGATATAATTAGAGTCGTGATTATTGAAATAGATACTGAAAACTAGATTAAGACTTTTATTGACGTTGTTAACACGTTGCTGACGCGCAGCCGTACAAATGAGTTATTAATCTTCAATTATTTGTATATTACATGTGAAGATATGCTGCTAATATAAGCGGACTTTGAGAAAGTGGGGGGGGGGGTGGAGTAATACAATTATAGAGATCAAAGAAAGATGAAATAAATGCATTTTATCCTTGTTCATATTTATAGAAAACAGTAAAATCGAGAAAATTACACCACTTTATATAATCCATGTAAGTCATATTAATATCATATCAAAATCGTATATTGATTTTCAAGTTAAGTGATGGGGATAGGACTCAAACTAAATTTATTTCCTTGAAAATAACATTCAAAGTCATGGGAAAATTGTCTCATGAATAAGATTTTCCTTATATTGTCAACCTCATAATGCAGACAGGCTATTCTGAAAACCTTTTTAAATCCAGTGTTTGAAGAATAAAGTGCTTTGCTTTAGATCATACGATCCAATGCTTCCCAAACACATATCTTTTATTTTTCTGGAGTATGTCTATATTTTACGAAAGTCAATGGCTCCACCGTGTTTATTCGTGGAATTGTGCCCTCTTTCATTTGGTGATATTAAGCGTGATGATATGCAAACAGGGATGTTATATCATTGCTTTTTACGATGAGTAGGTAGAACTTTCATGCATAGACGAGAAGGTGTGATGTATCGAAAACAAACATTGATCTCGCAGTCTCAAGCGGTTGCTAGGCTTCATCGCACGCCCAGCTCTGGCGGTCGCCGCCAGCAAGGTTCCCGCTGTCTCGCTATTCCCCATAGAATCAAAAAGAGGAAAAATTATTCTCAGAGCTTTTAATCTAAACCCGATTTTACGCAGTTTTGCCCCAACTTGTGTACTCGCTTGTGGTAAAGCGGGGAATACACAGCCTCAGTGATTACTTAAAATGGGGAAAATAGTCCCTCGTGGGATAAGAACGCATTTACCCATAGCAGTGGTTAATATCCAGAAATCAGAGGATTTCATTTAGAAAAAGAAAATTAAAAAAAAGAGGCATACCCGAACTAATTATCAAATTACATAATGGTAAAAGATGCTTCATTTTACGAGTCTATCATGTTATCACGCTTTCCATTAATCAAACAGTTCATCCTTTTATCTGTTTTGGAAATTGTTTTATAATATATTTAATTATATTGTATAAATAAATAAATATATATATATGGGCACTTATACAAAATGTATTCTTTTTTACTTATCAATACAGAAATAATAAATATATAATGAATTTATTATTCATGTTTCATTGTAATTGTATTACTCTTGATGATGAATTTGAAATCTACAATTTCCAGATTAAAAGAATCGTAATTGCAACGAATCAGTTGGAAATTATTTTACAATTTTTTACCTTAGAGACGTAGTCTTTTTTTCAAC